AGGAGCTGGTGAGAGTTCAGGTCTATGGTTCTTTAATAAGTTGCCTAACTAAACATTTACCACTCTTCTTTCTAAATCTGATGTTCGTTCCTCTACTGTTAGTTTTTAAATTTGTTCCTCCATTCTTGTGTTGGGTATCCAGAATTTGCTGTGTAGTGTTTTGTGTTTTTTTGTACAGGGTTCTTCAGAATCTGTCCCTGGCTCCCCTCTGGCAGTGGAGTCCCCTTTGTCCCTCAGGCAGAGGCCACTGCTCCCGAGGAACAGGTTGGAGGTCATTGGAGGAGCCGTCTCACAGGGTAAGACCCAGTCAGCCCGTCTCCCTTCTTTGTATCTTTCCAAAGGCAGTGCATGGCCTTTTACGCTTCTTGCGTGCAATTCATGAAAGATTGGTTGATCAAAATAGGAAAATTCTTTTTTTAAGTAAGTTGGGGATAAAATTCATGTTAAGAATAAGAGACCTGTCCTTGCAGGCATTGAAAATATGCAGGGAAGCTCTCCCTCATCTCTCCTTTGCAGAGGAATGGAAGCTGTGCCTGTGCAGCCAGAAGAGGTAAAGGGGATTGGATGGGGAGATGGGGAAGCAGGATGGGCACCTTTGTTTCCCGTCTGCCTCCTCGGCTGGATACTATTTGCTCCCTTCTGTTCACTTCTTTCAATAAATGGTATGAGAGATTTCTCAGGGAATGGTTCAGTCTGGCCTTAGAATCCCAGTCCACATTTTGTGCTTACAGAGGGGCACACACAAGTTTGTCCCAGTTTGTGTGGGGCTGTGGCTCCCTTCCCCTGCCTCTCCATCCAATCAGCCACTCACTAACATCCTTTTGCTTGCTTTTCCCACCTCCTCGGCTGATCTCCCAGTCACCAGCAAGAGCACAGACTTCTCTGCCCCTCCCCTTTCTCTGAGTAGCAGGTCAGCCAAGAGGGGTGGGGTGGGGCAGAGAAGCCTGAGCTGCTGCCGGGACTGGAGGAGGTGCCGGAAGTGAGTCGCTGGTTGAGCCAGAGGAGGCAGGGCAGGGGACCAGCAGTACCTGTGCTGCCCCCCTTATGAACTGGGACAAACTGGTTCATGCCCGCCTCTAGATGTGTTCATGGTCTTCTTGGCGGTACTTAGTGATAGTCGAACAACCGCAATCTCTCTGAAGATGAAAAGCTTCCTCTTCTTTCAGGGACCTGTAACCTTTGACGAAGTTGCCGTGAATTTCACGGAGGCGGAGTGGGCATTGCTGGATCAGAACCAAAGGGCCTGCCACAGGGACGTCATGGAGGAGACACGTGAAAATGTGGTGTCTTTGGGTGAGCTCTGATTTTTCCCTTCAGTCGACAGACCAACAGTGCAAATGGTACCAAAGAATATGTAGCCTATCACTGCTGTGAGCGTTCACAAGTTGAGAGAAAGGAAAACTAAAAATTTTTCTTTATGTAGTACAATATGTGGCATTTAGACCCTTGGATGCTCAGTCCCACTGCATATCCACAATAAAAGAGATGAAAAACAATGTCACTCAGATAGGATATACCATTTCAGATGTAAAGGTCTAAAGCTTAATTCTCACTGATCCAGCAGCAGACAGGGAAGGACCAGTGGTAGCTCTGCCCCTTTAGAGAAACAGGAAAAGGAGGTGAGACTGAGAGGCAGACTTCTAAGAATACGAGTCTAACTGTTGGTGCAGAAGGTCTGAGAGTCAACAAGGGGACAGACCATTCTTACCTCATGTTTACTTCCAAATTCTGCCTTCTGGTCAAATTGGGGTGCATAGGTTCTTAGAGGCAATGCAAACCTGTTCAGGATCCCAAGGTGCCCCATTTCAATGGGATTTTGTATGTCTTATTTCAGCCCGTGAGGTAAGACACAGTGAGAACCAGGAAGAATTGTGTTGGATAGGCTTGGAAACAGTCCTTTGTAAAGAGAGTTGTCTTCAAGGAAGGAGAAGTGAAGCAAATACATACAGTAAAAATGAAGATTTTCCTTTTCCACTCAGAGGTTCGCAAGATGCTGTGCTCCAGGAAAACAGAGAGAAAAGGAAGGAAACGGGTAGATGTTCTTTATACGGAAATAACTGTAGTCTAAGTGCTGCTTGGACAATCCACATGGGAGGGAGACTGCTGAAAACCCCAGAAGGTGCCAAGAATCTTTGTGATCATTCATCCTTGGGAATTCATCAAACTTTTCAGAGCTTTCAAAGTAGAAAGAGCCTCCAGCACAGACCGAACCTTGTTTTACCTCAGGAAAATGACACAAAGAAACCCGTTAAATGTGTAGAATGTGGAAAGAGCTTCAGTCACAACAGGTACCTGGCTCGTCATTGGAGGATCCACACTGGGGAGAAGCCATTTAAATGCTTGGAATGTGGAAAGAGCTTCTCTCAAGGTGGAAACCTTGGAAGCCATGTGAAAATCCACAAAGGGGAGAAACCTTTTAAATGCCTGCAATGCACAAAGAGCTTCAGTTACAGGTCATACCTGGATCGTCATTCAAGGATCCACACTGGGGAGAAGCCATTTAAGTGCTCAGAATGTGGGAAGAGCTTCAGGCACAGCACAACCCTGAATGACCACATGAGAATCCACACAGGGGAGAAACCTTTTACATGTCTGGAATGTGGGAAGTGTCTCGGTGAGAGAAAAACCCTGAAAAACCACATGAGAATCCACACAGGGGAGAAACCTTTTACATGTCTGGAATGTGGGAAGTGTCTCGGTGAGAGAAAAACCCTGAAAAACCACATGAGAATCCACACAGGGGAGTAACCATTTAAATGCCTGAAATGTGGAAAGAGCTTCAGTCAAAGGGCACACCTGGATCAGCATTCGAGGATCCACACCGGGGAGAAGCCATTTAAATGCTCTCAATGTGGAAAGACCTTCCGTCACAGCAGAAACCTTTCTTTCCATCAGAAACTCCATAATGGAGAAAACCCATTTAAATGCTTGGAATGTGGAAAGTGCTTTAGTTACAGCACACACTTGGTTCGCCATATGAGGATCCACACAGGGCAGAAAGCGTTTACATGTCTGGAATGTGGGAAGAGTTTTGGCCACAGCACAACCCTGAGAATCCACACAGGGAGAAACCATTTGTCTCCTTGGAATGTGGGAAGAGATTCAGGCAGAGTGTGCACCTCACGTCTCATCAAAGAAGACACAGAGAAAGAGCCTCCAGCCCACATTGAACCTTGTTTTCCCTCAGGGAACAGACACAGAGAAACCCTTTAAATGTGTAGAGTATGGAAAGAGCTTCAGTCGCAAGGCATCCCTGGCTTGTCATGTGAGGATCCACACTGGGGAGATGCCATTTAAATGCTTGGAATGTGGGAAGACCTTCCATCACCATGCACACCTTGCCAGCCATGTGAAAATCCACACGGGGAGAAGCCATTTAAGTTCTCGGAATGTGGGAAGAGCTTCAGGCAGAGGGTGCAACTCACTTCTCATCAAAGAAGCCACAGACATGGAGATAAAAAAGTTGAAATGCTTGGAGGGTCACAAGACCTTCCAGAAGGGCAGGCATCTTATTTCTCATCAAAACAATCACCCCGGTGAGAACTTGGAAGGTCTGCCTCCAGGCATTGCATCGGGGAAAGATAAAATTGTGTTTCCTATAGAAACAAAGATTTTTGTAGTTCCCAAAGAAACACAGGGCCGGAATCTGATTTTCTAATGATTGCCATGGATTGTCCTCTTTTCCCTTTCGCTGTCCTTTTTCCGACACCAAAAAGCAAACAAAACAAAACAAAACCATGGAAATACAGCTCCCTTTCTAAGATAAACCCTCCAATCTTTTCTAACTTTCCATTCCTCTTTGGATGGTGGCAAAAAAAACTGTGTAGAAAGAGTTGGATTCGGGCTTTTCCTTACGTGTAGGAAACCACCACCCCCCCCGAAATTGATGAAACATTAGCTAGTCAAGTAAGAATTCCTATACATTTGAAGCAAGTTTGCTGTCCCTGGACATGATCCAGTGTTTTGAAGTAACAAATCTGTTAACTTGTATTATTTGAAGGAAGGGGAGATTGAGAATATTTAGAAAATGTCATGGATTCAACCAGGGATGACATTCACAATTTTTTTTTGTTTGCAACTTGCAAGAATTTCCCCCTGGCAGAATCCCGGGAGCTGCAGCCCAAAAGCAATCATTTAGAGAAGACGTTCTTTCACTTCTGTTTGGCCCTTCGTCCAGTCTATCCAATATAATTGTATGTTCTCCCACCCAGAGTAAGTGGTGGGAGAGAGGAGCCACAGGTCCATCTTCCCTGCCATCTGTCTCTTCCAGACTTGTTCCCTCTCCGCCCTCCCCAAAAGGCCCTTTTCCCCCTTTGCCCCCCCACTTCCCCAAAGAACCAGCCCTGGGATGACGGATCTTCTTTCTCACCCCCAGAAGCGAATCTTTCTCAGCTAGCGGTGCAAACACACCCCCTCCCATGTTACATATATCCTTAAGATACGTGGCCACCCTCTCTGTGCCCATGGGAAACAGGGAACGCTCCCTTTGGGGGGGGGTCAGCCCTGTCCTGGCTTCTCCTGCCTGCCTTCCTGCTTTTTTGCTCCTCCTTCAACTGACCGGGGATGCAGGGGTTCTTTCCTCCCGCACTCCTTACTTTCTTTCCTGACTCCTGGATGCTCCCCATTGCGTTAAAGCACAAAAATGAGAACCCCAGCAGCTTGAAACTTGCCTTTCGGTTTGAAAAAGCCCCCTCCCCATTCTGACCTTGCTGGGAGGGTAGCCCTAAATTGTTTTCATTCCCATTGCGTAGCCTCGTATGTCACCCTAGAGTAGACCCATTGACGCTTGTGGGGTTTGAGCGAGTCCCGTCCTTCCTGAGTTGCTGTGATTCAAACAGGCCTCCTCTAGTGGTGACTTCCTCCGCTAAGCTACAGGGCTTCAGCCATTGCATCATTGTGGCCGCTGGATGGGCTTCTATGTTGCTAGAAATGCCTGTTTTCTAGATAAAATCCCCAAGAAAAAGGGCAGGATAGTGATCATTAATATTGGTTGTGATGATTCCAGTTCCTTGCTTTATCGACTCAACTGATTTTAGTGGGTTTGCAGCTCACGTTTTCCATTTGCTTGTTTATTAAATCTTTTTTCTTGATGTTTGTAAAGAACCTGGAATACGAAACGTAGTATAAAGGAAAGTTTGAAGAGTAACCTGTAATAACAGTAGCAATAAAAATGATTATACATTTATTTACTGTCTTGTTTATTTTATTTGTTGACCATCTGCTTCCCTTGCAGGACCCAGGGCAGTTTACAAATATGTTAAGAATAGGCAACAAAAAAGGACAATTAATTACAAAATCCAATTATTTTTCAGCTGAAAGCAAAGATATAATCAATACAATTGTTTTGTTAACTGCAGCTCATTTACTGAAAACTGGAACTTTGTGTATTTTAAAATGCCAACCAGTATGAGAGCCACTGTGGGGATAAGTGACAGATTAGGATTTAGGAGACCTGGGTTCAAATCCCTGCTACTTTCCCCAGGAGTAGCAATGAGAAACTAGTCCATAATCCTGTCATATCCCTCAGAAACCGTTGTAGGATTGCCATAAGCCAGAAAATGCATAGAACAACAAAAAAAATCAACCTTAAATATGTCTTCTAGTGTGTTTTGTGAGGTTATGGTCACCAAATTTATAAAATGTACTGAATTGTCTGTACCAGATGTGAATGCAACAGCTGTAATGGCAACACGGAACCTCCAAGTAAAGACACAGTCTATATTGGTCTTTTTGATGGTGTCTTTGTTTAAACACTAGTACAGGAGGGGAGCCATGCCATCATGCTCTTGAACTTCCCAGGATTACTTAGGCTGGCCACTGAGAAAAACAAATGTACCTTTTTTTAAATTAAGATAATAGAGAAGTGTGGCGTTTGCCCCGTGGCCCATGCTTGTTTTACCAAACCCAGAGCTCAGAAAGGCATCTGAATACGCCCCCTTGACATGCTGCCACCAGTTGATCTCTTTATCAACTTATATTTCTTATGAAAGACTAAGGTCCATCCAGTACTGACTTTTTAAACAGAAACAGATTTTTTGATTACATGTGATCTCAGGAATAGTTCTTGAGCACATTCCTAAAGTTCCACAAAGCTTCAATATTTTACTTAATTCTCTTCTCTATTAATTAACACAGGTCACACTCTGACTAATCACTGCCTAATCCCTCCTTAAACACTCTCTGCCCCCAAACCCCAAACTATCCTCTTCTCTAGCTCTGACTGAACTCCTCTTTACCAGGCTCCGCCTCTTCAGCTCCTCTTGGCCCCGCCTCACAACCCTATTAACATATAACTTATGAATAATGCATAATTTAGGGTGAACGCCACATTCCTCCCCCCGTCAAATATATTTGTTTAGGAGGGGAAACCTAGCAGTTTGCCCTCGTAAACAAATACCTCGTACATGGAAGTATAACAAGAACTTGCCATCCCGCCTCACAACCACATTAACATATAACTTATGAATAATGCATAATTTAGGGTGAACGCCACATTCCTCCCCCCGTCAAATATATTTGTTTAGGAGGGGAAACCTAGCAGTTTGCCCTCGTAAACAAATACCTCGTACATGGAAGTATAACAAGAACTTGCCATTTTATGCATACCTTATAATACCATTTTCTCTCTATTTTTATCTTTACCAAATCAAACTTGCCACTTTAAACACCTAAGATAATTAATGCAATTAAAACATTTGCAATTAATCACATTAATAGAACTTACACTGCATCACCTTCACATCAATAAAGTTACTCACCATTATTTTTACCATCCTTCTACACCTCTCAGTTCATCACCATCCAAACTTTGCATTTTAATCATTTTCCATAACTATACACAAACAGAATATTTAATACAACATTTGCAAACTTTGTTTATCCACCCATTAGTCATTCGGCCTTCGAGGCAAGGCGTCAGCACCCACGCTCAGAGTCCCTTTTACGCTGCGGATTACAATGTCAAGGTCTTGCAGGTTCCGTGTCCATCTTGCAAGGTTACTGTTAGTGGATTCCACAGTTTGTAGCCACACCAGAGGGAAAGGG